GCTCAAACAGAAAGCTTCTCTGATCTACCATAATACGATATATGTTTAAAAGTTTCGTGCCTTATATATTCAGGCATTAACAACAAATAATAAATTGGGGAAAAATATTACTTTTAGAAAAAGGGAACCTTTAGAAATAATAATAAATAAAGTTTCTCGATCTCGGAGCTCGACCTTTTTCAAATTAACTAAGGTTAATGGAACGCAGTAGGCAAAAGATCACCACTGAAAATAGATCCCGAAGAAAAACATGCACCAACGCGCTCTTTGTCGAATGTTTTCGTTGGTCTAAACAATACACGAGCCTAATCGAGGCCGGTTTCTATTTAGATTTCGCCCGTGGACAACGAGAATCGTATCGTAATTGTTTCAGCGCAGGCTGTAAGCACACGGTTCGCAGGGAATCGGAACAACACTTCCCTGTACCGGTACACACGTGCGCGCATACGATTTTGGTAGTTCGCCAGCGGCCTCGTGTTACGAACGTTTCCAGGTTGTTGCGTGAGTTCTAAACCGGAACGCGGCTTTGGTAACCTGGCAGAAACGCATCCGCAGATCCAGAGGGACACACTTGTTAACTCGGGAGCCGCAAGGGATCGACTCGAGTCGGCGAAATTCGGAGGTTCACGAACAGCGCATTCGATACCAGGTGTATCGAAGAGCCATCGTAGAAGACGTTATCAAAATTAGAAAATGTAGAAGTTTGGAAGTCTGAAGATTTGAAGATTTGAATGTTTGGAAACTTGGAAGCTTAAAGTTTAGAAGTATCAAAGTTTCAAAGCTTTAAAGTTCAAAGGTTTGAAAGTTTAAAAATTTAATAAGTCAACTTATTAACTCTGACACGCGCAGTGCCAACTTTATTTTGTAGTTTGCCACCGAATTTAAATTTAGCAAACTTTTGCCGAACTTATGACATATTTATCTACAAGAACTCATCAGTTATTCGCGTACAAGTATATTCCAACCTCATTCCGTTCGCCCCGAATCGTCAAATAATCGGAAGTTCCTCGAACTTCAAGTTAGGCGAGGGAATTCGAGCGTGACATGTATCAAATTTGGTTCTCAGTAACCTACATAGCCCAATTGATGCAAAGTTACACGGTTCGCTCGACGGGAAAACGATATAAACACAAAGTTTCAGCAACCCGCAGTCAAAAGGGATCCAGTTACCCGAATTTTTAACTGATTATACAGAACGGTTCAATTTACTCTTTCCAATTTGTTTTTGAACTGGACCTTTTCACCGTAGCACAGGAATTACGTTGCAAAGCAACAAACATACAAAAAAAAAGCAACACCAGAATTATTTAACAAAAAGACTAATGCCAAACTACCAAAACTTTATTGAATAAACCGGAACCTATGTTGAAATCTCTTCATGCAGAAAAATTCCCAAGTAAGAACTCGAATTATTCTGTGTATCACCGCCCACGAGCTCGTCAAATATGTCTGCCCCCGAGGGTTAATACAACGCTAGCATCCCGTTGAAAATTGGACGACCTACTTTACACGGAAAAGGCGTCGCCCGGCCAGGAATCGTGTTGAGAACGGTTCCTGAGTTTTTATGGTGTTCCGAAACTCCCGGAAAGGATAAAAAAAATTAAGTCAAGACCAGAAGGACTTTGGACGGAGTCCAAGACCTCTACATTCGAAGAAACCCTCGAAGCGGACGAAGCTTCCATCATGATCGAACGTGACGTTCTCCGATCTCATTCCTCAGTTGAACCGTACCTTCGCCAAAGTAATTAACTCCACAAAATGAAAAGTAGATCAAGTTTGCGAAACTACATAGATAAAGAAGCAATTAAGTTTTGTAATATTAACATTTTAATGCATCCAAAAATTGGTATTAATCACTGTAACCTAAGAACGACTCTGCTATCATCCGGTTTAATGAGAAAGGGGAGAAAAGACCCACTAGCTAAAATGGCGGAGATCTCTTTAGAAAATGGACGCGTGGTCGCGGGTGGCTTGATCAGGAAACGGGTCGAGCTATTTCTATCTTTCCGGCGTTCGATGGTGGAAGCGGTTGTCTGGCGAGAAGAGAGGAAGAAGAAGGGAGAAACAGAGATTCGCTTGGAATACAGAAGACTGTTTGCTGTTTCTCGAAGCCGTTGGTTTCAAGGGATGATAACGGTGTCCCTACACCCGAGGTTGAGACTCTCAGGGGACACGTACTCGACCGAGCTTTTTTCGAGCAAGGACGCGCATGTAGAACGATTTATACAGGCTGCGTTCGACGAACTGATAGGATGAGAAGCGGATGAGGGTTAAAAAGAAGCAAGATATATAGATATATCGACGAAGGAACGGGACGTTCTCCTGTGGGGCCGTTTCGAGGGCTAACGAGTCGAATCCCGTTGCTTAGGGAGTCCCGGTAGACTGTATTTAGCAGGAAATATTTCGATTGCAACAAAATTGTAAAAACGCTACGCGGTGATTAAACAAGTTGATGCTGCTCGAATTGTCTAACGATTTGATTTGATTTGTTCTCAAATATTTATGCGATAATGAAGGAGATAAGAATGGATGCCAACTTTCAGAAACTTGAACACGACTCTTCAAAAACCCAAGTAACTGGAAATTTAGACTAATTCCTTATTCTCAGAGGAAATTAATCCTTCGCTCTCGATAGAGGACTTATAGTCGCTACTTAGTTCGATATAGCAAAATGATGAAGTTTAATTTAATATTAAACTTTGTATAACGCATCAATATATGAACTAATTCAATAAAATACCTTTGTTCTTTAATTTCTATGTGATTTCCCTTTTAAAAGATTGTTAAATATTTCTAGTGAAGAACTTTCGAGTGCAAGGGGTTGAGCCCTCCATCGAAAAGAATTTGGGAATGAGCATATTCTGGGAGCTGCGAATAAGGAGTCGACCGTTCTCCGCTTGTTCCCGATATTCACGGCACCAGGACTACGTCTAACGTTATTGCTTTCCCTAGCGCAGGGGGTGGAGAACGGAGCGAGAAGAAAAGTGACGGCGCCCATCGGCGGAAGGAGGGTCGCGAAGACAAAGGACCGGGGCAAATAGCGCTTTCGTCTCGAGCAGGTGAAAGGTCAATTCTCAGCGTGTCAATATTGAGCTATGTGCTTCACTATTGCAAGATTTTTTGCCTGCTCTCGTCGAACAAAGGACATTTTATTTCAAGCCTCCTCCGCCGACAGAAAAGTTACTAGAAGTTCTCGACTAGTGGTACATTTACTTATACACATTTTTCGTGCAGCTTTATCTAACACTACCGTAATGTAAAGAATTTTGCGTTAAAATTGATGGAAGTGTATCCCAATAAAATATTAAAAATAACGCAGAGGAAAAGTAGATGAGGAATAATTTTCAAGGTCAACTGCCATTGCAAATTTATATGAATAATCCTGGAAGTTTATGTATATGCATAGCGAGAAGTTAGAGAAAGTTCTATACACATTTTATTCGTGGAGAAATGTGTCAAGTTGAAGCATTGTACGATATGCACGTTTTAGCAGTTTGAATTTTCGCGCCACCTAGCTTTCGGTACTCAATCTTTGAAGGCGTTAAAATTTTCGCGCCGCCCTCGTGGCTTGGAAACTTATTCGAACACGTTTGTATACTTGAAACATTTGAATGTCTAGAGACGTTTGAATTTCTATAAGTACAATGAATTCGTGAGCTTTCCCGAATTCGAATATTATTCAAAATCAATGAAGCTTTTCATTATGAGCGCAAGAGTACATTCGTTCTTGTTTGACCAGGTCTGTTCGTGGACTCGTTACTAATAACAAGAGATATCGTCTTTACCTGGTTAATTGTACTTGAATTAATGCTTCACAGGATCAATAATATATTCGTTCACAAGATACTCGTTTAAATATGTTTAAATATTGTTATACTTTCACTTTTCACTGATTAAACGCAAGACCGTCTTTCACTTTTAACCGCCAACGTCCATAGACTAACCTACTTGACAGAATTAACCCTAAGCGAGCTCCCCCACCTACAAGTGGTTGAAATTGTAATCATTCGAGTTTATGCGGCAAATTTAAACTGATCGTTTGAAGTACTAAATTTCTTCAATGTTCGGAAATCTAAGATCTACTTTACGGACAAAACATCGAGCTTCTTATGGACAATAAAAGAGAAATGTCCTTTTCAAGACTAGGTACTGCCATTTTACGACTTTCAAAGTACTTTTGGAGATTACTACGTAAGTAATATTTACTTTCCAGAAGTGCATAAGACTTGCAAATTCCTAATACAAAAGTTTTACAAGTCATAGGTGATTCATAGAAAATAAAGATGTTAAATATATTGCTTGTCTATTCAACTAATAACCAAACTTCGAATTTTTGTGCGAACATACATATTTCACAAACTATTTATATGAACTAAAATTAAATAATAATTAATTAAGATTTATATGAAATATAAATTATTACCAATAAATCCACAGAGGCTCGCGATCGGCTAATGACTGACGTTCAAAGCAACAATTCAGAAACAGTCTGAGAACTTTCCGCAGCGTCGAATTTCGTTGCCGAAACTTTCGCATTAATAGAACGAAACCGCGTAGTTCGTAGCCGGGATACTCGCTCGTTATTAAACTAGGGAACCTGTGAAACGGGTAATTACTGGCGTGAAAAATGTTCAAAGGAGGAGATTGGGGTTCGACGATGCTGTTTGTGGCCGTTTTCTGTCGCCTACGGTATTAGGCTGAAGAAGGACGTGAGGAGGAGAGGAAAATTAGAAAACTGGGAAACGCTGGCGGCGGCTTCGACCTCTCTTCCGTGAGGACTGAATCCCGCCGGATAACGAACAGTTGCGGCGTCGAATAGTTTTTCGCGAAATGGGAACGGAAACAAAGGTGCCGGGAAGTAGAACAACGAAGTGACTTTTCAAATTGAAGCTCGGGTATTGCGCGAAACTGCACCGCGGGATTTTTCTGTTGCGATTTTTTTAATTACGATTCGCCGCGGACGCGAGAGCCAGTTACACCATAAAACGATTTTGTTTCAGATCAAGGGAAAAATGTCGGTCGAGATAAGAGCGGGTCGACCCACGATGCCGACTATACCGCAGTCGAAGAGACCAACGATTTTGGTGTATCCAACAGGTAAGATCGCGAACAAAACGTCAAACTTTTTCTTCAAGTTCAGGATGAATTTCGCGAGCACTTGTTCACATTCTTTCCCATCAAATGGAAAATATAGAATCACACTGTGGTAATATATTTTTGAGATATCCTATACATTCGTTTCAAATAAAGCTTCAAGAAATACGTCAATTAAATTACATTCGACATTAATATATTATTGTTAATGCTGCAATAAAGCCCATAATGAAGTCAATATTTAAAAGCGAGATAACTCGTACGATTCGTAACAAAACTTCGCTGCGGTGCCAGCACATATTTCCGGGCACCACCATGATCGATGCAACGTAGAGAATCGAGGAAGCGGGTAGCTGCAGGTACGTTATATTATTCGTACAATGCAGACATTCCGGATCGGTGAAATTTAATCCGAGATAAGGGGGTTGGTATTTCGCGGTATTCAACGAACTTCGCGCTTTCGATAATTACAACCAGATCACCGGGAAACTAATTTCACGTGACAGGAAGGCACAGAGATTGTACTTTGTTTTCCAGTAACCCCGGAGAGTATCATTATCCCGATAGTGTCGTGCATTCTGGGATTTCCATTATTGGCGTTAATGGTGATCTGTTGTCTAAGGAGGCGGGCAAAGCTCGCGAGGGAACGAGCCAGAAGGAGGAACTGTGATCTGGATCACGGCGCACTGAGCCTCGTTCGTTTCAGTCCTGTCCATCGCTTGGGTGAGTTTCAAAGAGTAACGTCGTCTCCCGGCGATTAATAAACATTGAATGAAGTCCCCGACCGTGACTAAATAAATTAACTTTTACGCGAGTTCCGGGAAAGAAACTTTCCGGATCAGATTTCGCGCGTGCCTGTCCTACAAACTTCGAAAAGCGCGCGTATTCTCATTCCGAAAGAGGCAGTCGGTTTACCTGAGACGTGGCGAGTTTAAAATCGTAATGAAAATATGAGCATCTTGGAGGGAAAGGCTTCCCTGTGGAGAGATTCTGAAACGAGAACGGAAAGGGGTCGCGGGACATTTATATTTGAGTACCCCCGCCCTCATTAACAACCGCAACCGTGGTCTCTCCTTTCTACCGTGATACACTGAATACGTGCATCTTCGTGCGCTCGAATACGTACAAATTCATAGGCGCGGTCATACAGTTTCGTAAATGGAATATATACGTGTAGTACGTGTTCATCTGTACGCGCGTACACGGATACGCGGAAGCACAAGCCGCGATATACACGTGTAAAGGGAGCAGAAGAGGCATTAAACTGGATTGGATGTCGGCCTGAATATCCCGGTTCATGCACCGATTCCGGAGTACTTTAAATTCGGACGTAATTCGTGTGTTCATACACGGGTTAAGATATCATTCGATAGAACTGTTTAATCTTCACTCGAAGCGTTTGGAAAACAAACGACGGAGGCGCTGGAACTTTTATCGGTTTGTAGTAAATTTTGATTATCTGTGTTTTCCGCGCTTCATATCTCATGTTCCGTGTGACAGTTTAGATATAACGATCTTTAAATGACCGTCGACACGATGGTGCCGTTCTCGTGATGTTCGCCGATAAATAAAATTGCGGTGTTTTGTAGTCGGTTGTGAGTTTGATTAACGAGGGTTACACTCGAACAGAAATGGGGGAGAAAGGAAATTGTAGATAATGTTTACACGTATAAATCGTAAAACGGATTCCGATAGCGTGCAATTCATAAATCCGCTGTTCTGAAGGTGTCTGAACTAAAATGCATACCCATTATTTTATTATCCCGTCAAGCGCAGCGTCTAAAGAGGATTTAGGTAAAAGTTTTTAACACGATTTGTTGCTTGATTTCGTCTCTAGAGGCGATAGAGTTTTCTCGGAACCGGCGCGGTTCATTTTTTCTTATTGCACAATCATTCTGTCACCGCTGCTACTGTTGCATACTCAATGTAGAGTTTAATTGAAGTTCCGCCAAAAGCTGAAAGGTACGCGCATTTGAACAGCATCAGGAAGAAAGATTAGCGAACCGTAGAAATGACTTGTAGAGCGATCAGTGCTCGCCATGCACTAATCTGCATCGAAATGCGTTTTTTCCTGTATTCCAATTAATTCGTCGGAGCTAAGGGCAGACGCTGCTAATCGTGTTTATACCAAATTTACATACGTGCAGCTTCGTCGCAGCTCTTGAAACGGCTCTCGATGCAAAAGCATGAATAAAGTAAATAATTAATATCGTAATCCGCATGTAGCTGAATTTAAATGAAATTTGCTCTGCAAGCCTGGCAATGTATACTTGAGTACATTCTGCATTAAACTATGTTTAAACCATTATATTGGATTAACACCTTCGAATATTATACGTATACGTTCTTTATACATGTTGGAGTTCAATTAGTATTTTTGCTAGTAACATTCTCGCGCTTCTACTCGCGGGTTTGCTTGATGATTCGAATTCTCATTAACACAATATAGAGCGTTAAGTTATATTTCACGGACCATTACAATTTAATTTGTATGTAACAGTGGGAATTGATCGTCCAACGAGAGCGGTATCGTTAAGAAGCGATCGAGAATCTCGGACATTCCCATCCCTGGAATTGGATACGGTGGTCGAGGAGAGATCGGATCCTGAACAGAGTACTGCACTAGAACTTAGCAGTCCAGATTAGCATCCAGCTTTGGTACCGCCCAGGTTGAATCTTTGCACACCTCTTTATTGTAAATCCTCTTTATCTGTAGTCGCAAACATTTTTGAATGATCCAACAGAAGTATGTATACACACTGTAAGAAACTAGTTTTCCTTCTGCTGGTCTATTATTACCGACAGAAATTTCTATGTTGACATATGCTCTGAACAGTTCCTACATTGCCGACCCCGGATCACGTTCTATCAGAAATCAATAATTTTATGTAAAAAGGACACCCTTTTCTAATCATTATTTTTCTTATTTTTCAGGTCTCCTCGACCATCGAAATCGGCGGTACCATTGCCTGTAGATCACAGCCCATTATGGACGGCTTTGACACACGCTAATTCCGTGTCTTCTGTTCTCGGAGATACCTAGCAGCACGTTGAAGAGGGCGGCTACATCGAAGCACTAGTCCTCGACTTACCAATCATCTACTAAAATAAAGAACGAATCAACGTGTCTTGTTCGATTTCAAGACCGCGAACTTGTACCGCGAAAAGTGCCATAACGTGAACCAGTTTCAAAAAATACACACGTTTAAAAGAAAACTATAGAACTCTATGAACGAGTCTCACGTACGTAACAGAAGCTACGGGAAACTAAATTTTTTACCGGTATACTTGTATAGCACGCTACAGCCATTCCGCTTTTTACATGAGGAAAGTTGCTTAAGGGGATAATATACGTGAACACTACTAATGTAAATACTAATTTATTAACATCATGTACAATAAAAAAATCAAAGTGTATAAATAATAAAGCATTATAAACAGTATTGCATATTCAAGTTTACTCTCCAGTTTATAAATGAAGTTGTCATCATATACATATAAAGTATAGACTAATGTAGTAGTATTTATCTTTATGTAATTGAACTTTATTAATCCTTATAATTTAATGTTCATTCATGAAGTTCTTCTGCATTACATAACTTTCATTCGGGTAAACTATGTATTCATTCGTACTTTTCCCACACATACAACTTTCAAGGCTATAACACAAAAAATTGAGTAAATTACATAATGACTTTCTAATTTCCTAAAAGCCAGGTGTCGCTCGTCCCTTTTTAGCGGCTTTTTTCAGTTTATTTATTTTCTTTTCCTTTTTTCTTTTCATAATATTTTCTTGCCGTTTCTCCTGTCTTTCTCGAATCTTTTTCTGAACACTTTCCATCCTTGATTCCCATTTCTTTGCACTATGTTTCTTTTTGTGTTCCATTCTGTTTATTGTTCGTTTAAGTAACTCAGGATCATCTTTCACCTATAAAAGCAAGACATTATTGGATTTTACATACACCAATATAAAACATTAAATAATACAGACTTATACATATTTCTTTATTCACCTTTTCTCCACTAGCTTTTGCTAATACAGAATTCCATGCATGTTTCTCTTTTAATTCTTGTGCTTTTTCTGCTTCACCCGACTGTTCTAATTCCTTCAATTTCTCCTTTTTCTGTTTCAGTTGAAGTAAAATTTTCTTTGGATCCTTCACATTTTTGGGTGGCTTCTTTTTAGTTCCAATTTCAGAAAAGTCAAACTTGCTAAACACCATTTTGCCTTCTGAATTGAAAATTGGTTTTGGTCTTGGTATTTTTGGTACTTCACCATCTTCATTTTTAATTTTAGATCCTCCAATTGCATTCTGTTCTGTCTTCACTAATTTCCTTTGCATTACACGTTCTTCTCTCTTAGAAATTTTCTTCATTTTATTTTTTAAATTTTTCTTTAATTGTTTATCTTTGTAGCCTAACCTTTTCACATTTTTCAATCCTTGAAGTTTAGCATGTAGTTCTTCAAATGTATTTGCTCTCTTTGCTTTCCCAACAGAATTTGGGAAAACTTTAGCTTTAATGTAAAATACAATAAAAATTGGAATAACAAAGAATATATGTATTGTATAAATATTTTGAAAGACCTACCTTTTGACTTAACATCTGTATTATGTGTTACTAATTCACTGTTTTCATCTGAAACTGATAAACAAATCTTCTATCACAGATGCAAACATCATAAACATTTTTACAGTCTACTTTTTTATGTTTTTACCTAGTTTCGATACAGGTAACGGTGTTTTTGAAAATATATTCGTGATAAATTGATTTTCTTGTTGTAGTAGTCGTTTGACAAGAGTCACGTCAAATGGTTTTGACATTTTTAACTGCATATTTCTCAAAAAACACGTGTAGCACAGTGAACTAAATAAAATGGATTTACACAAAACAGCGACACGTTTCTAACTTTCCGAAACTAAAAAGTATGTATTATAGGTTAGAAATTATATTCTACTGCGCAAACTCATAAACAACAGAGATTTGAAATCTTTTTAATTATTACAAAATTATATTATATTGTGATTCAACTTAAACATTAACAATATTGCTTTTAGCACCTTTAATTTACATATTATTCTTTATATATAATTATGAATATGATAAAAATATCTGTAACGCCATCTACTAACAAAATATATTAGTTAAAAGCATTATACATTTAAGTCTTAGAAAATTAAATTACAATTAATTATACTAATAATAGCTATTGCATTAAATTGGATTTAATTAAATTGATTTAGGCTTATTCAGGAAATACACATTTATTTTTAAAAAGGGATTTATTGTACTTCTTGCATTTATATTTTGTTACGTCTTATAAAGTCTTTAAGAAAGTGTACAATGCAATTCTTGAATGTGCGTTATTTACAAATTCTTATAACACTGAAAAGCTCTAAATTAACATTACAAATATTACACATAATGAAGATTCATTTACATTAAAAGTGCTTGTTCAGCTAATACATGTAATCTTAATACAATAAGGGTCTTCCCATTCCACAAATATTTATCAAATTTTTTTTCAACTACAGCTGCTTGTTCAGCTGATTCAAAATATATGTGGCAATACCTTAGTCCAATGTTAGGTATGTGGAATATCTGAGATGTCGCTATTGGCTTATATTCATCAAAAAAGGATAATATCTCAGGTGATCCCAATTCAGGATGAACATTAGCTATAATAACTTCTTGAGCTGGAATAATGTGTGGAGTCTTTTGAGCATATTTATGGTTTGTAAACCTTTGATTATTACAAATCAAAGATGGAATTTCATTTTCATTAAAATAATCTTCTATTGTACTTGAGCTGTTATCAAGACATTCTACAGAAATTGGGGTGCTTGATGTTGATCTTTCCGATTGTTTTGACTTTAGCAGTTGTCTCAACGATGAAATTGTCTTAGTAGAACTATTGCCATCACTATTTCTTCTTGACCTAGGTGAAACATTATAATGATAATCTTTATTATCTGTTCTGTTAATGTCTTTGTTCTTTAAATGGTTCTGTTTTAGAAATTTATTAATAGATGAAAAAGCAGAGGAGTCTTCACTTCTTTCTTGCACAGGTTTATGATTTTTAGTAGTAGATTTATTCTTAATTTTCTTTTTGTGTGGTAAAATTTTAATTAATTGATGATTTTTAAGACTGTTAAGACAACGCATAGTGTCTTGTAAATTTTTATATCGTACAAAACATAGTCCAAAAGTGTCACCATGCTGGTCTACAGACACAACTGTACCATAAGAAGAAAATATATTTTTAACTTCATCTGTGGTTAATCCTTTGTTTGGAAAATGTACAAGGTATGAACCATCGTGTTTTTTATCATAAAATTTTTCATGATCCATACTTCTATAAACTATTTCACTGTCTTAGATATATTAAAAATATTTTTGGACCGTTTTCACAATATTTGTTGATAATGAATTCAATGCGTTTGTTGGTTATATTGTTTCAAATGTGATGTATTTCAATTTAATTACTGGACTTTATGAACCACATTTAACCACATACTATTTTTACACGTTAATAGTAATAAAATAATGTATGGTTTTTCAATATACCTATGTAATCAGTCCGCATTACTTGTAAAATTTATAAAACCAAATGCTCCACAACTTGTGTCGTGTCAGTGAGGCTAGAACTGACGCCAAAGACAAAATATAACGTAGATGTCACTCAACTGTCATCTTAATTTAAGAAAGTAAAACGTAACATTGTTAAAAAAAACAGTTGAACAATGATCTATACAACACCAGAAATTATTTTGGAATAGAATTTTCTACGTGTTGAGTGTACTTTGTTTTTACGATATAACGTCATTTTCCTTGTAAAATTAATTATCACGTATTTTAAATAAACGGACAAAAATATAGTTAAAATGACGAATACACTTTGTAGCGAATTTAAACGTTTAGTTTCAAATATCAAAATAATTAATTAGAATGGTAATTGAAAATAACAGTTGATCATTCATATTTTCCCGCCTTATAGAAATGGCCGAACGCGCAGCCATATTTGCAGAACGGACTTGCGCATTAACTCCGCCATAATTTACATTTCTTGAGCACAAAGTCTCCTTGTTTTACTTGCACAGTGGTCAGTAAGGCAATATTACAATTAACTGTTCGGTTTTGACCATTTTTTTACGCAATACCTTGCACAGACGCAACGTAAACTCATACAATTAAATGGTAACGGCGATGGAAAAAAAAGAAGTCGGAGAAATGGGCGGAGTTTGCGCCTGTCGTAATACGAGGTAAAAGACAATTTATTCAAAAGATATTTTCAGAAGAGTCCCATCAGGTTTACAGATGGTATTTTCGAATAATGGTTCCGAAGCATTGCTATTGCAATTTATAGAAATTTGAAAGGTCCGCGATACAGGTTAAGGAAGACGCGAACTACGAAAAGCGACGAGGTCGCGTCGTAAATAAAGTGGATGCGCACGCGGACAATACACGTGTGAGAGAGAGCGAGGGGAACCGATTGGTCGGAAAAAGACGGAAATGTACCGAAGATTCTGATTGGTCGACGGCGGCTGTTATGGCCGCCGATTAGCGCACGCACGCACGCACACTGAGGAAGGACGGTTCGCACACGAACGCACGTACACGCGCGTGCATCAGGAGCGTAGCAGTCGCTCGCGGCCGAGAAGAGTGAAAAGAGCGACAGAAACGGTCGGTCCGCGCGTTGCCTTCTAAGGCGGAGGGAGAGTTGGTGTGTGACGTCGTCCGTGCGCGGATGGCTCGAAGAACGCCGATTTTCCTCAGCTTCGACCAAGTATCCTTGCTGAGCGTCCGAAAGACCAAGTGAAAGGAGTGTGCATGCGGGCCGGCCGCGACGCCGCGACCGTCGACTCAACCGCGTATACGTAAAACCCGACAATCCGTCAAGTTTCAAGCTGCCCGAAGCTGCTGCACCATTTTCATCATTCTCTTAGAGTGTATACCAAAACCCCGGAGAGAAACCGATTATCACGGTGCGTAACCTGGAACGTTCCTGAGCCAAGTTAAGAAAAGATACGAAGAAGCGGCGGTAATAGAAATAAAAAGGATACGAAGGGCATCGAGAGAGGTAGCGGGAGACAGAGATAAAGAACGAACAAGCGAGCGAACCAACGAACCAGCGAACCAGCGAGCGAGCGAGCGAGCGAGCAGAGACAGAGAAAGAGAGACAGAACGAACGAGAGATAGAAAGAGAGGTAGATATAGAGGAACAGAAAGAGAAAGAGAGAGAACGAGATCAGGAAAGAGAAGCGAAGAGCGAGTTAAAACGCCAAACGAGATACGTAAGAGACAAAGGCCACGGCGGCATAACCTCCAAAGCGATTCGATCGTGCCGCGCGTTTCGTAAATCGTTCCTGCGGTTCGTGGATCGTTTCCAAGCGTTTATTCGATACCCATTATTTACGAGAGATTATATTTTTACAAGTGCATGCCTGCTGCTGCCCGGGGCTTCCATATATGAAGTGTCGCACGAGTGAGTGAGAGAGAAAGAGAGAGACAGAGAGAGAGCACGTGTATGCAACGTATTTTCCTCGAAGGCATACATACACGGGAGTCGTCGTTTTCAAGTGAAAGAGCGGGACGGTTGTTTGTATGGTCGTGTTTTTTCCGCGATACCTGGTATACGATATAGACCAATAGTCCGCGAGTGTTGTCTACTGTGTAAACGAAACCGTTGTTGCCTCGACGACAACGCAGAAAATAGTAAAAGGATAGAGAAAATAGAAGGGGTAAAGAAAGCAAGAAGGAAGATAGGAAAAAGAGAAAGAAGAAGAGGGGGGACAGAAATAGAGAGAGAGACGAGGGAAAAAGAGCCAGCGGATAACACATTCAGCGCTGTAGTCTACGGTTGATGGATGAAACTGGCAGGATGCTGCAACACGGTGGATCAGGTGTTGGTCTGATGGGAGGCAATCAGGGCCAGGGGGCCCAAAATACCGGCGGATACGGAAACATGGGGCCCACAGATGGAACGGCGACCCATGGTCCGGATCCGGCCGGCGAGTCCAGAAAACAGGATATCGGAGAGATTCTTCAGCAGATCATGAATATCACCGATCAGAGCCTAGACGAGGCGCAAGCAAGGTAGATCCTATTCCAGATCCGATCGACCGCCATTTTTTTTAACGCTATAACAACCGGGAACTGCTCGGAATGACCAAATGACCGATACAGATGCTTTCCAATGTTACCTAAAAACAGGTTATCAAAGGATACTTTGTCGCATAGTTTCATTGATAATTATGGAACAGTACTCTTGTCACTTGGGTAATTCCAGCGTTAACTTTAAGAGGATTAAGGGGAAAGTTTCTCCAACTGATCGATTCTAACATATTAAAAGCCATCCGTGTCTCCGAGATACGAATCATTTTTCCTCTGTTAAAAATTGTTTCTCGAAAAAAGCCTCGAAAATACATGTTTACACGCGTGGATAAATTACTCGGTCGCAAACTATACACTGTTCCGGGGTTAATAGCAACGTACCCTTAACGTTGGAAATTACTACGCGTGTTTTCGGTTTTATGTTGCTCGGTAAACTTCCCCAGGCGATGATTTTGCTGCCAGTATTTTCGCAGGGGCTGTTCGAGCTTTTTCACGGCGTTACGTTTGTTAAATACGTTGTTAAGTCGTGGGTGTGCAGGAGAAGCCGTGACAGAAACGGGTTACGTTGATCGCCTTCGAGTATCGGTCGGCACGACTTTGTTACCAGGGTGGGGTGGATGGGCGGGAGGCGGACATTATTTTTACGAGGCCTTTTTTAATATTTTATATCGTCGGTTAAACTGTTCAATGACGGGAGCAGGACGCGTACGTGTATTGGTAATGACAAGCTGTAACGTGGGTTGTACACAAGCGCGCGAGCGAAGCACGGCGATAAGGCCGCGTTTATCTTCGCGTTATTGGTCCATGATCGTTCAACGTTTGCCAAAACGTCGACGCGTCTTACGCGCGAATGCGATTAACGTTATTTTTGGATACACCGTGTGCGTTTCGCCCGGCCGCGAGATTCTCTCAGACGGAAAATTCATCTCTGACGATTTCTCACACGATTTTCTCTTTTCCCAGGAAACACACCCTGAACTGCCATCGAATGAAGCCGGCCCTGTTCTCGGTCCTCTGCGAGATTAAGGAGAAAACAGGTGAGTCCGCCTCTCATTCGTTTAATCCGCCGGTATTCGAGGTGGAGGCGGCGGCGGCAGCACCCGGTGCTCATGTGACCGTGCGTCACAAATTGTACTTCAATATTTACCGGTGCGTGCCACGGCCGCGCGTCCCATAAATTAAGATACGTCGGTCCGCTGAAAATCCGCAGTTTATCTCGCAGCTGCTCGCGCGAACGAATTTTTTTTAAGCGCACGAGCATGAGATAACGAATCGATAAAACGGCGAGATAAAATTTCGCCGGAGATCAGGTTGGCCGAAAATTATTACCCCCGCTTTTAAATTTGTTGTTCGAACAGTGATCCGCGAACCGTTGGTATCGCCTAGTCATCGTCGCCGAAAAGTCACGATAAACGGCTACCGATTAAACAGCCGCCGACGAGATAAGAGGAGGGAAACACTCCATAAAAGTATACGGACGATCACCTCGTAAACTCGCGTGCGCCGGTCGCCGCTGGCCCGCGGAGTCGTTCTAAACAATCCGAGAAATTCCTAGAACAAGAGATCCCTATCTCTAGCCGCCTAGCCGGGGGACCGAAAGGGGCGATAGAGCGAGAGAAAGAGAGAGACAGAGGGAGGGACACGGGAGGCTGTTGATACGTTTTCAGCGTGGCGAGTGCAGGGTCGACCCCTACGCCCATTCGAAACTCGTAAACATAATTTTTATGCGATGTTTGGATTACTTTTACGCGCGGATCAAGAGACCACGAAACGCGCAATTATTTTTCGGGTGCGAGGGGTGGCTTGGCTGGTTGGCTAGCTAGCTGGCTGACTGGCTGGCTGGCTCGCTGGCTGGCTCGCTCGCTTGCTATCTAGCTAGCTGGCTGGTTGGTTTGGCTCGGCTTGGCTCGGCTCGGTTCGAACAGACAAGGGGCAAAAGGGGGCTGAGGTGGAGAGAAGGAGGTGTGTGGGTCGGCTACCCCAAAAGTAGTTTCTGCCTGGTCGCTTGATGGGGGTGGTGGGGCCACCACGCCCCTCATGCTAAGCCACCCTCTTTCACGTCGTTCCGCCATAAGTATATGTGTATATCCTACACACATTTTTCTCTCTTTCCCTCTGTTTCTCTTTCTCTCTTCGTCTCTCTTCTTCCCTGTATCTGGTTCCCTTGCTTCCTCCCCGCCGCCGTTGCCGCCACCGCCACCCCTCTCGCCGTCGGCTAGCTAGTCTCCTTTCTCGCGACGAGGGTGGTATTGTGCTGGTCGAGGGTTCGACGTCGACGACATTCCACGAACACCGTCCGTTGTATATGTCCATTCGATAAAAATTCGAAAGGGAGAAGCGCGAACCGTGGTCCCCCATTGTCGCGAAACGATGCTCCTTTTCCTATAGAACGATCCTAAAAAATGGGTCTATCCTTTAAACAGAGCCGCGCTCGAAAAGCTCCTGGTCCTCCATCGGACTCCTCGAGGATTCACCCTTCTATTTTCTATCTTCCGTAGTCCTGCTCGTTCGATCCCCAGGACAACGCGCGAATTCCGCGCGAACACTCGACCCGCTGGGGCGATCCACGCTTGAATGGGCTGAACTTTAATCGCCATCCGCTCGTGAAAAAGAGCCTGTTCCTCCCTCTCGACAGGAAAGAAAGTGAAACGGAGCATCGGAGGGCGGTAAGGAAGGATTTACGTAAACAAAAAAGGCGTCGAAGTGTGATGAGCGCACTCGAGAGGATGAGTCGTTTTAATGGTTCTATATTCTTTATGAGTCTCGCTGCTAAGTATACACGGGCGCGCGTTCATCGCGCCCTGGCACATGGGTCGGTCGGTCGGTCGGTCGGTCGGCTTGGCTGGGTCGTCGAGTGTGCATGTGCGCGCCGCGTAGGTCGGAGACGAGGGTACCGAGAAAAATGTGTAGGGTAACGGAGACTGAGCGACGGGGGATGAAGAGCGGTAGAGAGGGCAAGGCTTGTAGTAGAGTTTATGGGCAATGGCTGACGAGGCAGTGAAAAAGTACTAAAACCAAGAGGAGCAGATAAACGCTATGTTAAGCAGACCGTTTTACCAACCATTTAATATAATCGGCTCTCTCTTTCTCTCCATCGTGCAGCTCGGATGGCTTCAGATCAGGGCCGTCCCGAGTCAGATTTCTCCCCATTCGACATCTTTTTTCCCCGCCGACTCTTCACTCGCTGCCAATAAAAGTCGCGAGCGACAGCTTGCGTTTCCATTACGAACGTTACCCTTAAATCTTATTACGTCAAACTCTGTTTCCGGGCTCGCGCTTTTCCACTTGTCAATTCGCAATTGTGCGATATCTGAAAGCGTTCAACTGACCAACCGATAAACGCGTATCCCTATCTCTTTTTCCATGCGAGAGATTCATTTTTAATGGACCCTCTCCTCTGTCTCTCATTTGAATATCTGGTATTGTGATCGACGGCCTCGAAGCAACAACGATTTGTCACGGTCATTCGGAGCGGCTACTCTTCGGAACGCGCGGTGATCTTCGGGAACCTGTTTCGGACAACCCCGTTTAGACCGATTTCCCATGGGACCGGTGCGGCGGCGGAGAGAGAGGATCCCGGAGGGTAGAACAACGTGAAGGAAACGAAGGGACGCTGGAGAAAGAGGGTAGGCCGAAATCCGCGGGATTTCTCGACCCGCCTTTCTCGGCCAACCCCTAATCCGTTTTTTCTTCTCTCCTACGCTGTCGGGAGATCTTTTCTTCGGATAGTCGTTCACAGCGGTGGTATAATCGCCGAGTCGCACATTGTACCCTAAAAATATTCTTTCCTCGATGGACTAGACTTTTAGAGTCTAGCCAGCTAACTCTAAAACGCTACTCCTTTCAACGAGCTTCTCTGAATGCTTCCTCTTCTCGAATCGCGTCGATTTAGGGAAGGGTGGAATTCAGGCTGGAATTAAAACAACTCAGCTGCGAAACGAACGCGAGCTGGTAGCTTCCCGTTCGAATCGAATCGTTCGGACTCGAAACTCTATGCTAATTTGCATTGAGCACGGTCGCTCGCGGCGTGATTCGCGGACGAAACAAAGAGCACAGCCGGGTATCGATTGCTGGCCGCGCGGCCGGTCGTCCGACTCCGCGGTTCAACTTTATTTATCGTTTGTCAACGCGTGTAACGCGAGCGAGCGAGCTCCGAAACGCGAGCGCGATTGGTCACGCGTAGCCGCGTGCTCTTCCGGAGACTCTTTCTCCGCCTCTTTCGATTTATCGTCATTCAATTAAAGCGACAGGCGATACTGGGCCGCGCGCCGCTTTACTCTCGATCCCCACGCCCGCCCGCTCGTCCATCCCTGGGAACTACGTCTCGCCGCGGTCGCGTTTCGGCGTAACAATTAAAAAATCCATACTCGATTTGGC